GACTCCAACCTCAGTTGCACCTGGCCAAGGGCCCCCTCACATCAAACTGAGAGCTTCTAAAATGGCAAGAATCCAGGCATTTCTTGATAGCTCCTTTAAACGCGATTGAGCCAAGTGCCCTCTTTACCGCATCCCTTTGAAACTGTCTCAATGTTACCATTTATTGTTACTTATTAGGCAGATTGAATCAGCGCATGGACTGCAGGGGCAGATTTCTGGGATCCAATCCTAACTGCCTTTTCACTTAATTGTGTGAATTTAGGCAAGTTATATGTATACACAGGCCAAAAAAAGAAACAAAGCCAAACTCATTGTCCACGAGTCGATGGCCACCCTATAGGGCAGGGTAGAACTGCCCCCTGTGAGTTTCCAGCACTATAACTGTTTGTAGGACTAGAGAGCCCCTTCTTTCTCTCTCTAGTTTCGGACTACCAACCTAAAGAATCGCAGCCCAAAGTGTAGCTGCTCTGCCACCAGGGCTTCTCTGCACACGTACACATACACGTGCACCTATGCATACGCTGCCATCCAGTCAATACTGACTCACAGCAACTCTATATTCAACACATGTATTATGCCTCAATTTCTTCCTTTGTAAAATAAGGTAATAATACCCCTTCCCCCCACCCTACCCCACCCCGCCCGCCCACTGCCATTGAGTCAGGAGCACTGGTGGTGCAGTGGTTACAAGTTGGGCTGCGATCTGAAAGGTCAGGAGTTCAAAACCTACAGCTTGCTGCTCTTGGGGAGAAAGTTGAGGCTGTCTACTCCAGTGAAGTTAGTCTCAGAAACTCCCAGAGGCAGTTGTACCCTGTCCTATAGCTCTGTCTTATAGTCCTATCCCGCTATCAGCGGCCATTGACTTAATGACAGTGAGGGTGTTTTTGTTTGTTTGGTTTTTGCCATTGAATCAGTTCTGACTCCGTGATCTTATAGGTCAGCATAGAACTTTACCCGTAGGGTTTTGTTTTGTTTTTTTATCATTTTATTAGGGGCTCATACAACTCTTATCACAATCCATACATACATCAATTGTGTAAAGTGCATTTGTACATTCATTGCCCTCATCATTCTCAAAACATTTCCTCTCCACTTAAGCCCCTGGCATCAGCTCCTCATTTTTTCCCCTCCCTCCCCGTTCCCCCCTCCCTCGTGAGCCCTTGATAATTTATAAATTATTATTGTCATATCTTGCCCTGTCTGACGTCTCCCTTCACCCACTTTTCTGTTGTCGGTCCCCCAGGGAGGAGATCACATGTAGATCCTTATAATTGGTTCCCCTTTCCAACCCACTCTCCCCCTACCCTCCCAGCATCGCCACTCACACCACTGGTCCTGAAGGGATCATCCGCCCTGGATTCCCTGTATTTCCAGTTCCTACCTGTACCAGTGTACATCCTCTGGTCTAGCCAGACTTGCAAGGTAGAATTCGAATCATGATAGTGAGGGCGGGGAGGAAGCATTTAGGAACTAGAGGAAAGTTGTATTTTTCATCGTTGCTACATCACACCCCGTAGGGTGTTTTAAGAATGAAATGAGCTCATACAAAGTGGGTAGCCCCCTCAGAAGTATGCAATTAGGACAAACCACATTTACAGCTATTTTTAGAAGAAAAAAAAATGCCTTATTAGTACTATATACAGCAGCACACAGCTTGCTAATGCTTTTATTCTAACACCACACCCCAAAGACAACGAAAGAGAGAGGTATTCTAGTTAACTGACTTAGGAATGACACTCCATCCTAGGACAGGGACTACCTGTAATGTATAAGCAAAACAAAACAGAACAAAACTCACCAGCTCTGAGAGAATTCCAGTCCATGGTGACTCTTGTGCTTTAGAGCAGAACTTCACTTAATAGGGTTTCCTGTGCCCTGGTGGTGTAGTGGTTGTGTGTTGGGCTGCGAAACACAAGGTCAGCAGTTTGAAACCACAAGCCACTCCGAGGGAGAGCCAGGGTTTTTGTGACTGCCCTAAAGTGTGACAGTCTCAGGAACTCACAGGGCAGCTCTCCTCTGTTGTATAGAGCCACTGTCAGTCAGAGCCGACTGGGTGGCCGGGAGTTTGGCTTGAAAAGCTTACAGAACTATCTAGCCAGACCTCTCTTCCTTACTTGTGGGTAGATTTTGAACTGCTCACCTTTCAGTTAGCAGAGCAAGCGTGAACTGCACCACCCAGGGATCGTCCCTGGCACAGAGCACGGTCAACGTGCTGATTCCACTTCCCAGCAATCCTGTTACATAAGCATTAGTTATTCCTGTTGTCCCCTTTGTCACGAGTATGTACCAGGAACACCCTATGGGCTTGCTTTCAAGTATCAGCAAAAGATCCTGTAGGGAAGTAGGTGCTATTCCCATTGTATAGAAACGAAGAGTAGTAAAATTACTCAGCTCCCAATAGGGAAGCGAGAAATGCCACCGGGGCACCCCAGCCCTCCTGGGCGCCTCATGCTGCCCTACTCCAGGTCTGCGCACTCTTATCCCCTTCCCAGGCTTTCAATGTCATCAATGGGGGTTCCCACGCGGGGAACAAGCTGGCCATGCAGGAGTTCATGATCCTGCCCGTGGGGGCCAGCTCCTTCAAGGAAGCCATGCGCATCGGTGCGGAGGTCTACCATCACCTCAAGGGGGTCATCAAGTCCAAGTATGGGAAGGATGCCACCAATGTGGGTGACGAAGGCGGCTTTGCACCCAACATCCTGGAGAACAACGAGGGTCAGTACTCACTGGGGAGAGCAGACCTCCAGGGTTCCCACAGAGATGAGGACTACAGAAAGGGAACCCCTCGAGCCTCAGGTCCTCTCCTGTTGCCCCCCACCCCCAGCCCTGGAGCTGCTGAAGACGGCCATCCAAGCAGCTGGCTACCCAGACAAGATCGTGATTGGCATGGATGTGGCAGCCTCCGAGTTCTATCGCAACGGGAAATACGACTTGGACTTCAAGTCACCCGATGACCCCGCACGGCACATTACTGGGGAGAAACTGGGGGAGCTGTACAAGAGCTTCATCAAGAACTATCCTGGTGAGACCCCCTCATTGCCCCTGCCCCAGTCCCCACCCACTGTCCATAAACATGGACTTTACTGCCCTCCAGCACCGCCACCTCAGGTGCTTCCAGTCCTGGGTCCGAACACTGTCTCTCCCCAGTCTTCTGGCTCCCACTCCTCCACGAGGCCCTTTCTGACCTCTGTCTGCTGACTGTGCTCCCCAACCCCACCAGTTGTCTCCATCGAAGACCCCTTTGATCAGGATGACTGGGCCACCTGGACCTCCTTCCTCAAGGGGGTCGACATCCAGATTGTGGGAGATGACCTCACTGTCACCAACCCCAAGAGGATTGCCCAGGCCGTTGAGAAGAAGGCCTGTAACTGCCTGCTGCTGAAGGTTAACCAAATCGGCTCTGTGACGGAGTCCATTCAGGCGTGAGTTACTGCTGGTCCCAGGGCTCCCCCTAGTCCCCTTATTGTCCCAACCACTCCAGCTACAACCTTGTCCCCAAACTCCAGGTCCACCCCCTCCCACCCCTGCCCCATTCGAACCCTCCTGACCCCAAAGACTTTTGGCCCATGTGACTCTGCCATGCTCCTCTGTACCACCAGATGCCATTCCTTTCTCTCTTCTTCCCCCTAGCATCCCAGGAGCCCATATTCAAAGTCGGGAGTCCCCCTCCCCTCCCACTTCCCCCAAGAAGTCAGTCACCGCCCTTTTCAAAATGCCACTGCCTCGCTGGGCAGCACTGCCCAAGACTGGAGGAGGAAAGCTCCTCGGCTGCTGGCCTTTCCCCTGAAGCTCCCCCCAGGCCTGATCAAGTCCCTCTCTATTCAGTTGCAAACTAGCTCAGTCTAATGGCTGGGGGGTGATGGTGAGCCACCGCTCCGGGGAGACTGAGGACACATTCATCGCTGACCTGGTGGTAGGACTTTGCACTGGACAGGTACGCCTGACTCCTCTCTACTGTCTTCCCTCCGGGGACCGGGACCTTGGCCTTGGGTCAGATACCACCAGTCTGTGGCCTGGGGACCCAGCCCAGCCCCTTCTTTCCATCTTCTGAATTCGAATTTCTTTCTCAGATCAAGACCGGTGCCCCCTGCCGCTCAGAGCGCCTGGCCAAGTACAACCAGCTCATGAGGTACTATGGGTCCAGTGGGCCGGAGGAACCCAGGCCGATAGGCTGGCTAGCAGCAGCGCTGATTTTCTCTGCCCTCTAGGATCGAGGAGGCTCTTGGGGACCAGGCTGTCTTTGCTGGACGCAAGTTCCGTAACCCGAAGGCGAAGTGAGAAGCTGGAGACCCAAGGCGCCCCCCGCCCCAGGACAGATGCAGGCCTTGGAGCCTCTCCCCGGAAATAAACACTGATGCCCACAATACAGCCCTGCTGCTCTGTGGGAGGGAGGAGGGTTGGTCTGGGGAGGCAGAGAACAAATGCATAATCTCCTGAAACCAGGAAGTAGGGGGACTCAGTCACAGAGAAGTTGGGCAGGATCTAGAACGAAAGGGAAAAATCCACATTTTGAGAGGAGGTGATGGAAGCAGGTTCCATATGTGAATGAAGCTAATGAGGGAACAAGGAGTCTGCTCCAGAAGGGGAGCAGGGGTGGAGGCCCAAGGGTCTGGAGGCTAGACCAGAGGGGCCCGTCAGTCAGTCCATCAGTGGACTGCAGAGCTGCAGGCCAAAGACTGTGTGATGGCAGCCACGTCCACTTCTGTGGGGCTTCCAGCGACCGTTCTGAAAGCTAGACACTGTGCTCTGTGGAATTCCGGAAACAACTCCATCAGGCGGGCACCATGATTGCCCCATTTAGGGAGGGTTAAATGACACCCCAGGTCACAAGGACCCGAGCCAGGTATCCTAGTGGTAGTGAGCATGGCTCTTAAAAGGCTGTATTTTATAAAACCAGCATCTGTACAGACAGTACTTCTGTGCTGTTTGACCTGAAGTTATCTCGCTTCCTCTCTGCCAGAGACCCCAAGAACGCCCTTCTCCGTACAAAACAGCCAGACTCCGGGCCAAACAGTGTTTATTGAATGTTACGTAACCCCTGGGGGAAGAGGAGTCTAAGAATGGGGGATAATACAGATTAAATAGCCACCTGTGCATTCACTCTTGCACACACGTACATGCACACAGACACAGACCACACACATGTCCAGACTCCAGCAGTGACACAAACACCTGTCCTCCTCAGCCCAAGGGAGAGGAGGGGGGTGGAACAGAGGTGGGGGCTCTAGGATGGGTTCTTGTAGCAGCAGCCTTGTCCCTCCCTGCCCTGCCCTGGGGGGAGCTAGGGTGCCTAGGAGGTAGGTGGCGCCTCTTCCCCGCTCTGCCGCAGACGCTTCTTAGCTCGGATCTCGTTCATGGCCTCTTCGATGGAGCGTGTATCCCTCTTGTTGGCCACCGGCACTGGGGACAGAGAAGAGGTGGCTGGGGAGTGCCTGGGGGCCTGTGCCTTGCCTCCACAGCCCCTCCCCACATGCTGTGCTCTTCCCTCAGCCCTCCCCATTCCTCACTGTGCCCTCACCACAGCCGTAGGTCTTGTTGGCCTGTAGCATGTGGGCTGCATCCTTGGCTGCCCCCTTGCCGATAAGGTGGCTGTATTTGTCCTTGTAGTCACTGGCAGGGTTCACCACCACGGGTCCTTTCTGGGCTGCCTCCTCCTCCTGCCGCTGGGCCAGCTCCTAGATGTGCACAGGGAGGACACCGAGGCTTGGGAGCCTGAACCTTGGCCCCTTGCCGGCGGTTGGCTGTCAGTCTCCAGGGACAGTCACTAAAGCCCACCTTCAGCCTCCGTTTCTCCTCAGCCTTCTGGGGGTCCCACTCCTCTCCGCGCCGGTAGCACTCTAGCTCTTCATCTGAGGGTGCAAACTCCTGAGGAAGGGGATCACAAGGCCCGTCCCATATAAATGTCTTCTCTGTCTCCTCCACAAAGGGGAGATGAGGGTGTGTGTGTGTGGGGTGGGGGGTGGCACACAGGCAAAAACCGGGAGTGGAGGGAGTAAGGACCTCAGGCCTTTCACCTTTTTAAAGATCATGACATAGCGACAGTCATCATCATCCCCGAAGGAGAAGGATGTCAAGCCAGCCACTTCGACCACATCGTGTCTGGAGAGGGAAGGCGGACAAGATAGAAGCTGTTGAGCCATGGGGGTTCCTAGTGCTGTTCTCTGAAGGGCTTCCCACTGGGCCCTTCAAGCCCCCCAGGCCCTGCCACCTCTGGCTTGGGGACACTCACAGGATGCTCCTCTCTATCTTGTTCATCGGCTGAAACTTTTTCTTGTTCTGCCCACTGTCTTGGATGAAATCAGATACCTCTTTCTCCATCTCCAGAGAGGGAAAAGGAAAGAATATATAACATGATGGCGCCACTCCCGACTGGGCCTTCTTGACCTCCCCACGCCTTTCCCAGCCTTCATGCCACCTCCTGAGCCGTGTTCGAGACGGCAGAGCCTTCAGCCTTCCCATTCTAAGGAAGTCCTTCCTGTGGGCCGCCTTTGACCTCTCCAATGGTTCTCACCCTTTTACGAAACTCCACTTTCAGCTGTTTCTCTTGCTCCTGAAGTTTCTTCAGGCGGGCAGCCTGCTCTGGGGGCGAGAAATGATGGCAGCGTGAGGCCACGGTGAGCGGCGAGAGCAAGGAGAATTTGTAGAGCTTCATAGGGAGTCTGGGAGGTGGCTGGCCAGAGCAGACAGGCGGTGCATGCACCAGCAGTTACTGACGTCTGCTCTATAGAGCTGGCACTATCTTCGGCCCTGGAACCCGAAGATGACTGAGACCCGGGGTTGCTGTCCAGGGGCTCCTGGTTCAGCAGGGGTGACAGATCAGAACCCCATTTCCCAGCCCCACCGGGGAAACCAATGAGCAGACATTTATTTAACGCACATGGCATACTCAGAACAATAGAAACCAAGAACTTGGGGAGGTGAGGAAGACAAGCCAAGCCTGTGGCCTCAAAGAGGTTATCATCTCATTGTCTACCTAGCAAGGGGGAAATTATTTAACTTCCTATCTTTTGAAACACCCCTACTTCCTACTTCTACGAGGCAGCAGGAGGAAGCTGAAATGGCTCATCTGAGACTCTGCTCCTGGGGACTACCGGTGTCCAACGTAGCTGCAAAGGAACACCCCATCTTTGGATCTTACTGAACCCTCTTCCCTCACGTCCTTCTTGCGTCTGCACCAGCCCCCTTCTGGCCCTGGGGCAGGGCGCTATGGGGAGGAGTGCAGGCCACAGTCTACTCCTGTCTGCCCCCACAGTGGAAACTTGCTGCCTCTGGGGCCTGGAACATATGGCCCTCCCCACTCCCACTCTTCCCCCCATCGGCCCTCTCCTTGCTTCTGCCTTTTCACATCCTTTATACATTCAGAGCCTACTTCTCCCTCAGGGTTTGAATCCCTCCAGCTGCAATGAACGGCTTTCCATTTTCCTAGTCACCCCATGCCACTGCACATGTTGTTCCTGCTGCAGGGGACGCTTTTCCTCTCCTTGCAAACTGAGAGCGGCCATGTGTCACTTACTCATTTCTTCCAGCTCCAAGAGCATTTGTTTCCGACACCCACTCCAGCAGGTGCTGAGAACAAATATAATGCAACTTTTTATTTGGTAGGCTCCCCTGCTAGAATCTGTGCTCCTAAAGGCAGGGATCCCACTGTGGTCCTGGGGCCTGCCCAGCTAGAACTGCCCGCTGCACGGGCACCCCCTCCCCAACTCCAGAGCACTTATCTTCAGCACCACACACCTACGCCTCGCCACTGACAGCTTCTCTAAATGCTGTGAGTCCTCGCTCTCCATCTAGGGAGGCAGCAAGGGATTATGGTGAAGAGCCTTGGCTCCAAAGTTACATCTCAGTGAAACCGTGTCACTCGCTGGGTCACCTCGGGCAAGTGGCGAAACGCTGCACTTGAGCCTTCTACTGTCATGTGTGGCTAGTGAGCATGTACCCTTTCCCATGGTGCCATCGCCTCCTCAGTCCTCTGCCTGGAACCCTTTGTTCCACTCCCTGAAAGTTGCCTTGCTGGCACGGTGGGTTAATTGTTGGGCTGCTAGCCCAAGATCAGAGGGTTCAAACCCACAGGCCACAGTGTGGGAGAGAGAGGAGGCTGTCTGCCCGCCTGTATGACAGTTTTGTCTGAAGACATTCCAGGGGGCAGTTTGAGTCTGTCCTACAGGGTCATCGTGCTGGCAGTGGGTTTGCGTTCTTACCTACTCTTCAGCCAGGCTCACAGACCAAGATACGGTAGGTTGGGAGGCCCCCTCCCCCCTCCACAGGGGAAAGAGAGGCAATACTTTTATAGCATTTATTATCCAGTTAGTTGGTGCTTCATCAGTGTATGGGCCTGGGGCTGCGGCCTCTTTGAGGATACTCCTGGCCCCCAGCGCACTGCAGGCGTTCAGTAAGTGATGGATGGCATTTGGACACTAAGCAGCCTCTTCGAAGGCACCCTGCCTGCTCTGGCTCCCCTCAGGCAAACGGGACCCGGTGGGGGCGGGGCAGGCGCGTCCTTGTTCTAGGCCTGCGGGGCTGGAAGCTGAGCTCTTTCTGCCAGTTTCGTTCCCAAGCAGCCGCCCAGCGAGCAGCCCAAAGGCGGCCTCGACCACCACCACCCTGGCCGCACCCAACGCGGGCAGCGCAATTCCTGGGGCCGCCGGGAGGGAAGTCCCACGTTGAACACAGGCGGGGGGACCACGGCCAATAGGACAGGCCCGGGACAGTCCCATCCGTCCAATCAACACCACGGGTCCGCCTAGGCGTGGAAAGCTACAAAGCAAAGCTGAGGAGGGGCCTCAGGGGCCCAAGAGGACCCAGCAGCCAATTGAAGATGTTGAGGCAGGGTGGGTCAGCCGAGAAGGTCGACCAAGACTTAGGAGGTAGGCCTTTAAGTTGAGGTAACCAATAAAGGTGAAAGGACAGTGAATGGACAGGCCCCGAATCCAATCGAGACAAGGGGGGTGGGAGGCGGGCCGGGAGGTGGGCGGAGCCTAGCCTCGGCCAAATACTCCCTCCTCCAATCCGACCAAGCGGAGAGGAAGACGATGAGATGGGTGGGGCTAGAGGCACGCCACCAGTCAGGGCACGCCAGCAGCGGACAGGCAGGCCGGCAGACTAATTGAAAACAAGAACTGCGGAAGCCAGGGGAAGGGAAAACGGGAGGAGGGCGGGGCCATGGCCCAGACAGCCAATCCTCGTCCGCCAAGAACCGCGGGCGGGTCTACAGCTTTGTTGGGAGACTCTGGGGGGCGCGGAAGGGGGCCTGTGAGGGGTCTTTCAAGGTTGAGGAGGCAGGAGCGTCCATAGAGGGAAGCGTGCGGTCCTGAGAACTAGGCGAAGAGAGGCGGCTGTGAATTTGGGATCCTCACCTCGGGCCTTGCGCCGAGTCTCCTGGTCACCGAGGCTGGGAGGCTTCTCCATGGAGCTCAGGATAGAGCCCAGTAGGTCCGCCATCTTGGGAGAGACTGAGAGGAGGCGGTGCGTCTTAAAGGGAAGGGCGCAATGCCTTTAAGGCCGGAAACGAGTCGGAAGGCGAAAATCCGGGCTCGCGCTCCGCCCCGTCTGGCGCCGTTCCGAGGCCCGCCCAGGCCCCGCCCCCACAGACAGAGGCCGGAGGCTGGCTGGTGCAGTGATGTTTAATGGCAATTCGTATAAACCAAGCCCATGCACACGTACAAAGTGCTGGTGGAGCCAGCAGGAGGCCCTCGCCGCGCCGGGGAACCGCGAGCCTGGCCGTGCGGCCTCCCCGCGGCGCCTTAAATAGATTCTTCACTATACTCTGTATGGTACATTATGTACAAGCCCCGTCCCCTTCGGGGTGGGGCGGGCTCCGCAACGCGTTCCTGTACAGCCCCCTTACCCTGGGGGCTCCCCGAGGTTGGTGGCCAGAGTTGGGTGATGGGAGACAGGGGCAGGACGGGAACGGACGCCAACATGCGGAGCCAGGTGGGGGCATGGGCAGCCTCGCGACCCGAGGGGCGCCCGCAGCGAAGGCAGGTGGGGGCTGTGGCTGATACATTCAGAGACGAGTCGAACAAATAATAAATAAGGCAAGTCAGGAGGGGGCCGAGTCCGGGGAGCAGGCAGGGAGGGGCGGGGAAGGGGCAGGCAGGGCTCCGTAGGTCACAGCTGAAGATGCAGGTATGTGGGGCCCAGGTCTTCTGGAGCCAGGGTGGGGAGGTGGGGGTGATCGAGAGGTACGACCAGGGTGTGAGGAGGGCGTGGGGGGGCGGGCGTTCAGCACTTGGGAGAGGGGACCAGGGTGGGGACCCAGGAAGGGCTCCCACAAAGGTGAAGGGGGCAAAGCTGCCGACTTGGGGGGGCTCCCCCTCCTCCGGGAGGCCCTCCCTGGTTAAGACTGCAAGAAGCGCCCTGGGGTGGTCAGGTGGCTAATCCGGGTTGGGGAAGTCCTTCCAGCTCCTGGCGCTGCTTCAGTTCCCTCATCCTGCGGACACAGGGAGGGGAGGGTGTCAGGAGACTTGAGGTTGCGGGTCTGTGGAGGGTGGGCTGGGGTGTCGGAGCACAGTGCAAGGAGCTCGGTGCCAGTACCTGTGTCTGCAGCGTCGCAGGAATCGCATGATCTTCCGTGCTGCCTGGTCCTGCTTCTTAGTGAGAAAGGTGCCTCTGGGAGAGAAAACAAAGATGGGAGGCCTTGCCAAGCACCCAGGCATCTCCCCAAGGCCCTTTGGAGGGTGGTGAGGCAGGGCTCAGTGGGTGGGCACAGGGCTGGGGCACCTGGGCCGTACTTGCTCCTGGCAGGCAGGGCACCCGCGGGCCGGCGGCGGTAGGAGCGGTAGTGCTGCTGGATGAGCACGGCAGCCCTGCGGCTCTGCTGGAACCGCTTTTGTTCATAGTAGCTGCGAAACTTGCTCTGGATCAGGATGGCTGCCTGGGTCATCTTCTTGTAGAGGGCAAACTGCAGGGGTGGGGAGGAGAAGCAGGCTGAAGCGAACTAAGACCCTGCAGGTCATATCAACAACACCACCCCCCAAGTTCAGTTGGTGCCTTACTGGCTCTCTAAACCCCATGCTCTTGGGAAGACCCATTCACCACGGGCCCACCTCGCACCCCCCACCCAGCTCTCATGCCTGATACCTTAAGTGCAATCCAGGTCAGCTTGTGGAGAGAGAAGGGGAGTTAAAAGGCCCGCAGCATCCTGGATGCTCTGGGCTGGGAAGTGAGGTGGGGCAGAGGACAGGCTTCCCACAGAAGGGGCTTACCTGCTTGTACTTCCTGTAACAGCGCTGTATCACAGCGGCTGCCACCTCCTGCTGCTCCTTCAGCCGCCGGCCCTAGTGGGATGAGAAGTCTCACCACGTGCTCACGAGGCTAATGTCCTGCCTAATGACTAACCTGCCAGGGGCCCCTTGGCTCTTCCCCCACGGAAGGCCCGTCTAGATCACTTCGATTTCTTCCCTGATGTAGATGGTAATCCCTCCCCAAGGAGCCGGCCCAGACCTTGTATTTCCGGAAGGCTGTCTGGATGACTCGGGCAGCCTCGTACAGCTCCCGCTGCTCGTGATCCGACAGCGTCAGCAGGGCAAAGTCACTCTCCATCTTGCCGCTGGCAGACGCGGAGAGAAACTCTGCCCAGGAAGGTGCGGGAGGGATAGCCAGGCGGCCCCGTTCAAAGGGCAGCTCGCTGCAGGGGGTGGGGAGAAGAGGGTGTCACAGAGCATTTGGGCTCTCTCTGACCTAGAGTTGAAGGGAGAACCCCCTGCCCCCACCCAAGCACCAGCCAGAGAGTTGAGAAGCCAGACCCCTTCTCAAGGGAGAAGGGCTGTGGGAAGCCTCCCCCTTCCTCCTTCCCTCCCATATTCCCCTTTAGAATTCTGAAGTTCTGTCCCAAGCTGGTCACCTAGGAGGGGCTGAGTTGGGGAAATGGTCCACGTTCTCCAGGTAGCTGGCCAGCCAGGACATGGTCTCACTAAGTCCCATGGCCCCTGTCCGCTCCCGAAGTGGGGCTTTGGTTTCTGGCAGCCCCACAAAGCCCTCCTGTTTAATCCGCTCTGGTGTGGCTTCGATGATCTGCTTGGCCAGTGAGATCATGTCCACCTGGACCAAAAGAACCACTGAGTGAGCACCTGAGGGGCTTCCATGACCAGAGGATTCTACTCTGCCAAAGCTACAGCCTGGGCCTCGGGCGTGCCCCATCCTGCTCTCGCCTCTAGATGCCAAGGCCTCCGGGACAGCTCCCTCTGCTCACTTGATCTTGTAGGCCACAGCTCCGGGCTCATTCATTTGTACTTACTGTACTTAGGACTTAGGGATACAGCCATCTATGTTCAAAAGCTGTGGGAGAAGTGGGGTAGGAAGGACATACTCCCAAGTGGGGGCTCAGGAGCTATGCCAATGTAGACTTTATTGTCTTTCCATGCCCACCACCCCGTCCATCCAGGTCTGCCCATGGTCCTGGCCACAAAGGCCCCACACCCCTCTGCTCTCCAAGAACCGGCCCAGGGCTGGCCAACCATACACCCTGACCTCTGCAACACTTCCTGCTGGCCACTCTCCTTGTGCCGGCCCCCACATTTCTGACACACAGACTTTGCTGCCTCATTAATGCAGTGGCTGCCTAAAGCAGGCACGTCCTAAGCAGGGAAGTACGCTGGAGAGTGGTCTTGCAGAGTCCCCTCACTCCATGAGCCTCTTTTGGTGTTGCCCCTATGCACTGCCGGACTCCTCTGTCACCCTGCTTCCCCAAGAGCCAGAGCCCTTCTGGGTCAACAGATGAGCTGCCCTACAACCTCACTCTAACGGAAGATATGCCCCACAACTTCCAGGCTCCAGTGCCTCATGCTGTCTTGAGTCACTAGGCCACAAAGGAGCACACTGTTAACTTGCCTGCGTCCAAATGGGGGTGAGAATGGCCCCTTCCCAAACTGAAGCCCGAGTGATTCTGTCTCATGGGCCGACCAGGTCAGCACACCCGTCTCCCACCCTCCTGACGCCATCCCTGTCAGTAATACCGGGATCACATCAACGGTGGGCAGGCTGTCCACTTCCTCTGGGGCAGCCCCCTCCTCCGGGGCTGATGGGGAAGGACCATGGGAGGGCCGGGGCCCTTTGAGGTTGGTGGCCTCAAAGTCCATGAGGAGGAGGGGGCCCTCTGGGGCACCAGAGGATAGCTGGCCTGGGGCCATCTCCTCCATCATCGTCTCAGAGGCTGGCAGAGGGGCAGGGGGAGGACTGCCATCTGGGGCACTGGAATAGGCCGATGTGACCGAGAAGGTGCCATCTGACAACTCCGAGGGCGAGGAGACGCTGCTCAGACCTGCGAGGATGAGGGAGAGTGAGGGCAGCAGGAGCCACCCGCACCCCTGCGAGGAGTCTCAACGTCCCCACCCGCGGTGGTTTTTGCTGCGCTGTCTGTTCGGGCTCCTGTTGGCTCTTGCCCTGCCTCTGCCTCCTCTCCCACTCTCTCTTGCCCTTTGGCTTTGCCCTGGCCTAATCTCCCACCCACATGGTTCCCCCAAAGTGTCGGGGCAGCCCTCACCAGTGTCCGGGCTGGAGGAGGGTGGTGACAGGGCAATCGGGGGCTCGGTGGAAGCCTCTTGTCTCTGCAGTTCCTCAAGGCAGCGGGCCAGGCGTACATGACCCCGGGAGTGTGCCACGGAGAGGGGCAGGCGGCCCAGCGAGTCAGGAATGCTCAGCGCCTGGCGGTTCCAACGGAAGAGGAGCACCGCAGCTTCCAGGTGTCCCAGGGCACAAGCCCACATCTGAGGAACAGTGAGGGACAAAGGCAGGAGGGGGAGGGGGAGATGTGTCCCCTTAGGTTGCAACTCCTGTCCCTTTCCTGGCCCTCAGCTGCACTGTCTCCCATGTGTACTCAGGAGTCCAGTGGACTCACCAGAGGAGTACAGGAGAAATGATCCACGTTGAGCGGGTCAACCTCTTGCTCCAAGTCCAAGCTTCCGGTCTCCACACTCCTGGGGGAGAGGGACAGCAGGGCCCAGTGAAGGGAGGAAGTGGGCAGAATGGGAACATCCCAGAGAAAAGAGGCAGGGAAGCAAGTTGTCTAGAAGCACTTTAAGGAATCAAAGTGTCAAGTCCACTTCCAGTTCCCCCTCCTCCCAAAAAAGGCCCCAGTTCTTTTTTAACAGGGCCCCAGGGCTTTCAGTTCCTACACAGTCCCAGAGGCTGCCCAGGTCCCCTCCCCACAACCCCTGCTCACCGCCACTGGCTCAGGGTCTCAATGAGGCGGGCATAGCCTTGGGCAGCAGCCAGGTGCAGAAGGCTCATGCCCCGGAAGGGGCTTCCATGGGCCAGGCGTTCAGGACCCCTCCAAGTGGAGCGTGGGATCATGCTCTCTACCAAGACGACCACCCGGGCCTCGAACCCGGGCCCCTGGCCTTCATCCTGCAGAACACATGCCTTTATGCAGAGACCTAAGAGTTGGGCCCTGGTTTGGGATGGCTTTGGCCCTATGAGTCCTCCCAGCTGCTCACTCTGCCTTCTTGGCCCCCACTCCCACTGAGACTAGCACCAGGACCTCTTGACAGCCCCCCCTCCTTAGTTAGGACACCCATGTGTCCTCCCAGTTAGGTTCCCATGTAGCCTCAGTGTCCCCCACTCCCATAGCCAACCGGCAACAGCCCCTCTGGCAGCCAGGCCTCGCCCCCGCATCCCCCCCCACTCACCCCCTCCATTGTGCCCTCATGTTGGCTCAGATTAGCAGCAAGTACACAGATGGCTTCTCCCCCTCGGAACTCCACGTTCCTCTGAGCCCTTCCTTACTACTCCTACTTCAGAGACTCAGGACCCAAGGCGCGTCAAAGCCCCAACTCTCCTGCCTCCCTCCCCCACCCTTGCCTTCACCTCCACCCTTCTTCAGACCAGAAATAGTCAGAGGCCTGTCATGCCAAGAGGGTGCCCAGAATAGCCACTCTTGCCACAGGGTGGGGTGGGGGTGGGAGCAAGGTGACGTCAGTCAGGGAGAAGGGACAACTGGCTGAGGCTGGGGACAGGAGAGTCATATGCTGGAGTCACTTTCTTTAGAAAGATCCTCTCTGTTCTCTGCCGCAGACCTCCGCATGGAAGTACCTGGATTGGAGGAGTGTCGGGACCCTGGCAAGGCACCTGTCCGGCTGCCACGATCTCGGCCATCCGCTTCTCCATCTGCTCCAGCCGCTCCAGGATGGACATGCGAAACTGGTTGTCTGTGGGGAAATGGGGGTGGGAGGCTGAGGCGGCAGGGTCTAGATGAGGCTTTGAACACCACAGCTTGACCTGCCCCAAGACCTGGGAGGTGAAGACACGGAATTTCCTCTTCCTTTACCCGCACACCTGAATGAAGCCCACTGGCACTCAGTGCTCCCCCGGCTCAGCACCACCCACAGAGCAGGACCAGGACTTGGGACGCACAGAGCAGTTTCCTGGAAGTTACCAAGAGAGTAGGAATTCCAAAACAGCCGCCAAGCCCACAGCCACCCCAAACCACAGCATCCACACATGATCCCACCTCTGCCAGGTGACACGTTCTGCCAGTCCTCCTGGCCCCAGACACTACCTTTGTCCCCCATGGTAGGGCTGAAGGACTCCAGGGTCCCTCCTCTTTGTTAACCACTGGCCAAAAGAGCTCAGGGACTGATATGTCAAGGCACTGCCCCCTCCTCCCGGCCCCCCACAGCTGTCCACAAAGAGGCTGGTGGGGGAAGGGAAGGTGACAGATGAATAGCCATGTCCATGCCTCCCCCC